GCGTCACCGCAGCACCAGCGCACACCATCAAGGCCAAAGCGGGAAGTATCACGAGGTAACAGTTAGGAACCGCAGAAAAATAGGTCAAGTTCACGTCGGCAGGGAAAAACTATATAGGAAAGTGTTAAGAATTTGGAGACACGGGTGGCAAAATTACAGTATTATAGTAGAAAGACGTTTTGATGCGCTTTGCCTCCTAAAAATTCTACTTAGGACTTTATTATTTCGCTATTTTCACACCAGTTAAATTGTAAATTAGAGTAGTGACCTTGCACACATTTTGTTCTTTCATGTATATCTTTTAGCGAGAGATTGTAAATTGGATTTTTGATTTCACGTGCAATGTAATAAAAGCACAAATTTAGATTAATTAATTTTCAAGGAATTCCCAGTGTAGTTTAGGGTAATTATTTCAGAGTATCAATCTTCAAGTAAATTATGTGTTTCTTTCATATGAGTGTGTGTTGTAAAGGTTTCTATCTGTGTTTTGATTTTCTTTGTAAAAGTGTGATTCTATATTCTTGGTTTCTGTCATTAACTTATGCCACTAAAAGTTTATGGTAAATATACGCTCTTTGTGTGCAATCTGTGTATTTTGTGTCAAGGTTCAAACCTTTCTCGCACCCTGAAGGTCCTGCCCCCTAGATTTTTTAGCTCGCAACGAGCAAAATCTTGATAACCCGCTTACGTTCATGCATCTAACTGTGTGTGGTGTTGAGTGGGTAAATGTTAGAATATTATATATATATATATATATATATATATATATAAAGAGAGAGAAAGAGAGAGAGAGAGAGATATGGATAGATATAGAGATAGATATAGATAGATGTAGATATATATAAAATTAATATATGTAGTTGTGATCGCCAATCCTTCCTCAATGATGATCAATGATGGTGATGGTGATAATACTACAGTGGGTGATACTCTGCTTGAAGAGTGATAAACCCATACACTCTGGCGATAAGTACGGTGTACAAAGGAGGGGGCCAACAGACACGTTCTTCTATTTTTATAATCAATTAGACACGAAAAAAAATATTTCTGCAGTTCTTACAACAATTTGAAAAATTTAACAAGGGTTGCAAAGAAATGCATAGTAGCATGAATGAGGTACCGCATTACAGAAAATATTACCGAAATGATAAAACAATGTTTAATTTACTACGTTACGTGAATACTGTCGACAATAAAAGTGAAATCAAGTTGCCAACGAGAACACACAACACTTTTGTCACGTGCATATTATCAATGCGTTTTTTGATATGTACAAAATGCTTGTATTTATCCCACCATCTTAACAGAACACGAAGGTCGCGTACGTGGTCAGTAGAAGCTGATTTTCTGCCTAAGAATATACATAAGACGTTACACTCATTTTATTTTAAATATCATTTATAAATAACCTAAAATGTTACGCCGCAAAATCTTTAATTTAGCACTAAAATCTATTAGATCAATGCGAACCGATGGAACTGTAGCATCATCCACTCAACTGATGGTAAGCTTCGCATTTATAATGCGTTTTTTCCAATTCTTGAGAATGTCAGCGCACACAGGCACGACGTCACGACCTTAACGCTACGTATTTTAACATGTTACCTATTGAGAATAGTGTGTCACGAATCCTTTGATGTTTAATTGACGTTTCGTAATACCTATTCTCCCACACCCATCTTTGACCTATACCCTCACTTCTTGTGCTATTAGAAATGTTAAATACAATATGAGATTTATCAAACAAAGAAGAAATACAACTTTAAACGTTTATAAATGAGGATCACTAAAAGTTAATCTCATTATATCGTAATTTACAAACATAATAATTAGGGAAGAAATTGTTTCCACTTTTAATTACCAACATGATTAATACAAACTGTCAACAGAAATGTAGAAAGAGAACAATAATCTTACAATGTAATTTCTAGAATAACAATTTTGTTTTCATTTTCTTTACTAGCTATATTTAATTTTTAAAAATCAAGACCTCTCAACCATAATATTTTTTTAAAATAAAAATGCAACAAATTCTCTAATATTTCATGATGTGTAATAAATAGTAAATTATAAATCTGCAATTGTAATATTTTTAAAGATGTGTAGTCTGACATTATTAATTGTTGCAGACTAAGAAATTTGAAAATGATCCTCAAAAGGCTGAACATCACCCTCTTACAGATACTTTTGGGAGACACCACACATATCTTCGAATATCATTGACAGAACGCTGCAATCTTAGATGTACGTAATACAAATTGCCAAAATTTAAAAAAATAATTTCAAACTTATGTCATTAGCTTTTCATTTTCATTTTTTAAGGTCAATATTGCATGCCCGAAGACGGAGTAAAATTAACAGCAAAACCTCATCTTTTGACTACTGAAGAAGTAATATATCTATCAGAATTATTTGTGAAGGTCGGTGTCAATAAAATACGATTAACTGGAGGAGAACCAACTGTTCGCAAAGACCTTGTTAATATTATAGGTGAGTCTCCATAAAGGTCATTCAAAGAGTACATCTTATTTCATTATTCATACCTTTCAAAAATATATTTTTTGATTTTGTTTTTATTTTTTTAGGTGCACTAAAGCAAATACCAGGTTTACAAGAAGTGACAATGACAACAAATGGGCTTGTACTCACTCGAATGCTAGTTGCTCTGCAAAGAGCTGGTTTAGATATAATTAACATCAGTTTGGACACTTTGAAACCCTCTCGTTATGAAACAATGACAAGAAGAAGAGGATGGGAACGAGTCATGGCTGGAATTGACCTTGCTGTGCAGTTGGGTTACAGTCCTGTGAAAGTAAGAAAATTTTTAATACCAAATTAAAAATATTGATTAAAGAAGTACATTCTATTGAAAATATCCCTTGTTATAATCTTTCGTTATATGAAACTAGCTTAAGAAACCCAGCATTGCCTGGGCATTTATTTATCACAATCAGCTATTAGATAATTGGTATACATAGCATTGCCTGGGATTCGCCTAAGGACAAACACCAACATTAACCAACAACAATAATTGCACTTTCTTTATGTGTGTAGGTGAAAAACGAAGTGCCCTGTGTTACCCCTCTTTTACAAACATCTATTAGACTGGAATTCTATCTATTCCCTCCCTGTTTGCTCTCTTCTATTCTAGCGGATCCCTGTTCCACTCGGCCCTGCCCTGCCTTGTCCCCCCC